TACGTAAGGCCAAAACACTAACCAAGGGCAACACGCTCGTTGATAATCCCAGATAGCATCGAAAACATTTCTTTATCAATCCAAGTTATAAGGACAAAAATCAACGCCTAGCAAACGAATGCAAGCAGATGTGACGTTGGATTTTGTAGGTTGGAACGTATTGGAATGCGCTCGTCTACACCTAAATTTAGTTTCGAGTTGGACTGCGAAAATTTAATGTTTTTAGATGATCATGAAAATTGAAGTAACATTTTCATCAGTTCTGTCTGCTGGCGATTTTGTCACTGTCGAAAAAATGCAAAAGATCTTTTTTGTAGCAAATTTCATTTTCTGTAAAATGTGATTAGAGCATAATATAATTTTGGTGTAGTAGTTGAACAACTGTAAGCGAAAATATAATTATATGTACCTTTTGATGTTAAAATTCTTGTAAACTATTGACTGTACGGTAACAGAATATTACATACCTAGTTTGAAACACACACCACGATTATGACATTTCAAACAAATTTTGCAAACATTTTGAAATATCTAGTTACCTGGTGTCAAACTTTCAACCAAGGGAGTAAATTACATACGTTGCTTTTTTGTAAACATCGAAGGCCATTTTCACACATTATCCGGATCATTGTAGTATTTAAGAAGGAGAACTGCTATACTAAAGTATTCCTCAATCGTCCTAAAATATTTCAAAATATAAAAGTCAGATATCAAATTGACACATGAAGTTGACAGAATACACTTTCATGTAATTTTATTATGTACCTTTGTATTGTTTTCATTAATATTTAGTTAAAAGAGACTTTAGTTCTATAAGAAAATTGTCATACCACCTTTTTATGTAAAATTAATTGCCTTAGCACGTGTATCAAAATGGGTTTTGCAGTTCAATAACGGCAATTTGGAAGGCACTGTTCTAACGATATCAGCCAGAAACTCGCTGTTGCACTTTTTGTAAGAGATAGTTACCTATTCGCTGATGTCATAGGGATAAATCAGAGGCAGCCAGCAGTCGCCACCATTAGTCGCCAAGCTAGTCGGATTCACAAGGCGTGGAAACTATGGAGTGAATCTACTTGATGCCAACTTAGATTCTCATGACTTACAAAATATTACTTAAAACACCGTGTATAGAACCTAGCTATTTCCTGTATACATTGCAGAAGAGGGTTGTTAGAAAAACCACATAAAAGCAGGTTTATGTACTTCCGGTGTATGCACAGCCATAAAACTGATTTACTTATTTTATATAAATTAAAATTGGAGGTTCTCCAAGTTTACTAGAAACACTACTTGAGTAAACCCTAGTTTCAGTTTAATCGAAATACAGTTCTGTTTAAAAATTATTGCCACAAGGTGTTACTTGTAGATGTAGGGAAGCATCTTATAAATCTTTTTAGCAATGGTTCATTGGGGGATACGGTATGACCATTCTGGGGTTCTCATCAAAAATAATAAATAATAAGCAGAGGATTATTCATTCTGGGTTTCTTGCAATACAGAAACAACGAGAAGTTCCACATTCTGTTACACATGGTTTGCGGCTTCGTTCAATTCGGATAAAAATTAGCCTCTGCCAAAAGCTTTTATGATCTTTATTCTGAACTCTAAAGTCATGTAAATCACATTACTGGGTAAGGTGACTTAGCTCTGAGCAGTGATGTACGAGATACCCTATATGTATCTGAAATACAAAATATAAGATACTTTTAAAATAAGTAATATAATAGCTACAGAATACTTTCTTGAATAGTATTTGAAATATTAGATACAAAATACGTATCTTTTGAATAATTTTTAAAGAAAAAACACTTTTTGGGTGTATTTTATTACATCAAATATTTACTCTTCGCAAAAGTGGCAAAATATCATACAATTAAGGTTTTCATTGAGGTAAGAGAACCAGTTCTTCAAACATTTTATCTCTCATTTTCCTTCAGGGAGGTCTTCTTATCGTTGCCCAAAAAGAAAAGAGTTGCTCTACATGTGCAGAACTTGGAAAAAAGGTATTTGAAAAATAAATTATTGTACCTGTATGATACGCATTTAAGCTCTTTACGCTGGTGTATTTAATATTTAGGTATTCCAGTGCTTCTAAGTCAGCGGTGCTGCCAGTTTTCACTGATTTCCTTACTTGCAAAAACATGTAATAAAATTCGACGCTTAACTACCTCTCTGTATCACTTCTAATATTGTCCAAAACCTCCGATTTTTGTTTACTAGATCGGTTAGTTTTCTGTGTTTCTGTCAGGATGAGTTCTTTTACATATCCTTGGCCCTAGACTAAAGTTTCAAGGGCGCATTATGTGAAAAAATGCAACTATTAGCATTACGATTTTAGCAAACATAGTATTTACCAATACTACTAAGATATCAAACGAAAGGTATCTCATATAACTCACATCTCTGGGTATAAGTATGTTATTTGAAATGATATTTTTGCAAGAAAAGTTGATATTAAAAATTGAAGTCCTTATTGCTTTGTCACATTATCTTAGCAAGCAATTTCTATACAAATATGTAACCTTAATGGTAATAGTGGTGTAAAAGAAGAATGTACCATTCATGCTGTTACTGCAGCATTTATAAGCAGTATGTTACATGCATATAACCAATAAACGATGATAATGATACGCCGTTGTTGACGGCAAATGTATCATTTTGTTCATACCAACGTATACTTTGCCCGTTATAAATAAGACGTGGTATTTGAAAATGCTAGTAATTACGTCTATCATGTCCCGCACGCTGAGGAACTCACAATAATTTTATGAAAATAAAGTTATTACGGATCTAACGCTTAAATTAATTGTATAATGTTTACAGTGTGCGGTCAGGCTAATTGCAATTTGTACCTTGTCAGCTGTAACTCGTTCCAAACATGGCGTCAAGTAGGTTTACCCTTCACGTAAGTTTATTTAGTTTTAACCATACTATTTAAGAAATTTTCTTTGTACATTTTCCAATATACTTGTATAACGTTCATAGAAAGAGTTCCATATCCAAGAAGCGTACCCAAGTTCTATTCACACCAGCGAAATAAAATTAGTATTTAGTGCTGATTCATTGGAAAAAGAACGGTAGTTACAAACACGTATAACAGAGAAATTAAATGGATCAAGTCAGTCAAACAGTCCCAACAGTTGTAATCATATTACAGCGAGACTTAGATACTGTATCCATCATATTCTACCACCTAACCCCCAGAACAATACGAGGTGTATAAAAACAAAAAAAAAGTCAAAAAATTATATTTGTATACAAAAACGATAATAATTAATGTAGAGGTATCAAGAAAACATAAGGTCAGTTAACACTAGTTGGTTACAAAAGATTTCGCTGCTGATAAAGTAGAGTTTCATTCAATTTTTTTTAACCACAACATTTTATACCATTTGCCTTTCACCCGCCAGTACTTGTGTTGTTACAGGGCAGCATACGATGAGCAGCGCTTTCAGCTCAACTATGCGCCCACTACAAACTTAAGGACGAATGGCAGCCTCTATGTAGGGTGTACAAACGTGGAGAGAGGAACTTTCACCAATTATCCATTTGATTCCGTTCCTAATTCATATCGGGGAATTATCCACATACATAAGCCCTTGTTCACTTACACGGGCATCCCGTTGGCGGGAATTCGACTACGATAATTGCAGAAATAAGATCCTCGATGTGTTATGAATGTTAGCTCAGAGCGCGTATACTCCCCGCTTTAATTTCAATTTAACTTCCCTAGCTACAATTTAACTTGTTAAATATACAATTCGGTTTAAACAAAATGAGTCGAGATTAATTTTAGGAAAAGTGATGCCGAGGCATTTTATCAGTATGCTGGATTTAGGAAAAGCGTCGTATATGTTCCTAATGGGGTTCTGTATATGAGCGTATGCTTGTGACACTTGCCTATTGTTCATTAATCTTTATAAGTCTATTCACAAATTACATATATACGAACAAGTACAATAAAAAAAACCAACTGTAGTAACTGAAAAGATGAATTTACGGACACCTCAATATATCGAGCAGTTGGGTCTGTAGCCTAAAGGCGAGAATACACATGCCAGTAAAATAGCATGCCAGTGGCCAGTAACTTGTATGCTAACTACTTGTCCTACGACATCCCAAAATACACATGCTAGTTTTGGATATGCCAGTCTGTGAAAACTTCCCTTTATCTTCTTTAACTCTTGGTGGTAGGTTGTTCTTAGGTTTGTTATCTTATTTTTCATAAATTTCAATGTTAAATTGTTGTCAGTCATTTGCTTCAATAAAGACTTGTAAGCATTGTCTCTAGCGATTTTATTTTTATACAATGGAGATCATGTATTCCATAAACACGGATACTCCCTATACTGCATAACAAACAAAGTCTTTTCGTCTCCCCAACGAGCCATTTTGCCCCGAACTAAACAAATAGTTATATAGTTCAAGAATCCGTTTTTCACATGCGAGTTTCTGGTAACGATGTCGTTCACACACCTTTGAACATGACTCGCATGTTTCCTCCCCTCCATTCCCTCGACGAAATCCTGCTACTGGCACACAAAAATCAAACGTCTTGCGATCTACTGGCGTGCTATCTTCTAGCGTGCCTTCTTGCTGGCAGAGAAAGTCACACATGCAAGTAGCACGCACAATCCAGTAACTGGCATGCTTCTGTGCGTGTAACAAGCATGAGTATTCTCGCCTTAAGAAATATAATTTTCAAGGCTAAAGTTATCTCCGCCGTATCAATTTCACAAAATTTTGGTATACCCAGTGTCACTCGTGATGTCAAGACCTATTTAGAGATATATCATATGGCAACAGCCGTCAGGTTGTTTAGGCTGTAACTCATAAAATAGAAATTTCAGTGGATTTTTTCTAAAATCCGCCATTTTGTTTTGTTAAAATTTTAATAGGGAAATAGAATTTCTCGGATACATACACACACACAGATACGTGAGACAGTCGGGTAATACAATATGGATGTATTTTTACACAACTTGTGTAAATCGAGGAATCACAGATGTGATGTACAAAGTCTGAGCTCAAACGCCCTTCCCAAACCGTCCTGGGCTGGTTTCCAAGGAATTAATGCATAATAAAAAAAAAACATCTAAGATTGCGAAATTTGGCGATCTTGTTTGAATGTCTATTAGTGAATGTCAGTAATCTTCTAAGCTTCTTTAGTAAAAAAGACAACAAAAACAAAAAAGCAAACAAAATGCAGCAAAAGTCGAAAGGTAAAGCGAATAACAAAAATCTCGCAGAAGAGGATAAAGTTTCTGTGGGTACCCTCACATACTGGAATCCCAGGCAACGAAGAGGCTGACAAAGAAGCATCAAGAGCGGCAGTCCCTTCAAGCAGAAGTATGATTCGTACACCCTACCAAGATTTGACAGGGCTAATAAAAGTGCACATAACCAGCCTTTGGCAACAGAAATGGAATGGCAGTCATAGCAAACTACTCGCAATTGCTCCAGATGTCAACACGCGATTCACCCTACCTTCAGGAAGAAGGAACCAGATAATTATGTCACGTCTCCGGATAGGCCACACACTAGTGACTCACAAGCACGTCTTCGAAGAAACCGATGCCCCAGTTTGTTCAACGTGCAACCAGCGGCTCACGGTGGTTCACATCCTGATGGAGTGCCCTACTTATCAAAATGCCAGAAGTCTCAACCACCTTTCTAGTGACATCAGTGAAGTGTTACTGCATCAAACCGATAAACTTGTGAAATTTATCAAAGACATTGACATGTACTTCAATACATAGATTATTGTGCCGTCCACGCCGCTAATAACCCTACGAGGTTGATGCGGTACTATCTGTTAAATAAAAAAAAAAATACAAAAATCTCGCGTTCTTGCAAACGTAAGAATAACGCAGCAGTTTTAATTTGTTTCTTCTATAACCTCCTCTCAAAGGTTCAGAAGCCAATAAGATGTTAATTCGGGATTTTTTTTGTTTGAGCAGCTTGCGGCCTCTATATCTTATTGAATGTCTTAAAAATGTGATTTTTTGAAAATGAAAGGATTGAAAAGTAAATAAAAAACATATGTTTTATAAACGGTATGTCCAAATATGATTTCAGTTGAAAATTAAGATTGTAGCTCGGAATTTCACGGTGACGAACATATACTTAACTGTTATAAGATTCTTAAATATTTGTATAAAAGAAATTTCTGAAAATACCCTTAGTACATGAACTTACGACGATTCACACACAAAAAAGTGGTCTAACCTGCACAACAGTTGTTTTGTGGTGAGTTGATTTTTCAAGAAAGTAAATTAATTTTGAAAATAAAGGGGCCATTCAGGAACGCAAAAATAGTATCATTAACACTAAAAGAAGCTGAAATAACCCAGAGCCAACCCCAATATGTATCTGGCTGAGTACTCGGCCCCATACACATACACATCGTAAAAAATGGCCCTTAACTTCAAAAAGTTCAGACTGTCACTGTACTTTGAAAAAGACTCCACGCCAAACCCACGGGTTAAAAGTAATTGAGTTATACATGTGGTTCTATTCATGGTTTTTAGCAATTACGCCATCAATGTCAAAAAAGTAAGCAAATCGACTAACTGAACCATGTGCGGAGCTGAAGCTCCACAGGAAAATTGTACTCAATTGGTTTTCATTTGCTTTTTCGAAATACTCTAGTAATTTGGGCAAAAGATATTGTCCGTTAGTTGTATTTTCAGGTACTGCTATGTCTTATATTACGCAGATCGCTAAAAGGTAAGCTCAAAATAGTTCGCCCATGTCAAGTGGAAAGTCACACTGACAGTGTCAAGCATGGATTAGGAATATCATACGCATCGAATATCTGACGAACTAATTTTTTTTACAAATTGATAGGCTTAGGTTCCGTACCACGGCGGATCTGTTGATATTATTCGCGATGTTGCCAAATCTACAGTTTTTCAGAAACTGATAGCAACTTTTGTTTTTCTCAAGGAATGCACATTTTATTCGATATTTGTAATCTGCGAGAAATTTAATGAACATACTTTGATGTAGATCTCATAGTTTTCGAAATATTCGCGGCCAAACATTAATATTTAAACAATGAAAGGTAAAGCAATGACCGGTATCAAAAGTAATTTCTATCCTCTTGGTTTTAGTTAAATAAATCATATTTATTTAAACTCTACTAACATAACTCAATGGACTTTTCAATGTCAGAAATGACTGGAAATTACAGGGTGCGGCAGAGAGGATGGACGGTTTTAAAAAAATCATAATATAGTGAATTTTTACTCGAAAACAAATTTATTGATGGAATCAGGTTCACAAGGAAATAGCATTTGAGACAGTCAAGTGTGGAAAATCACATCGGGCATGTGGTGGCCGAAATCGTTGATGCAGTGCTGGAGGCGTTCTTGGAAGTTCGCGTAGACTCTCTCCAATATCGCTCTCTCAACTTGGGCGACTTCCACGCGAATTTCGCCCTTCAACTCGTCCAGAGTATGGGACTTGTTCGCGTATACTCTAGCCTTGAGGTGTACCCATAAGAAAAAATCGTATATGGATAAATCTGGAGACCGAGGAGGCCAATGATCATCGCCAAACCTGAAAATAAGGCGACCAGGGAAGAGAGGGCGAATAACGTCCATGGATGCTCGGGCTGTGTGGGCGGTCGCCCCATCCTGCTGGAACCACACACGTCGGATTGGAACACGTCGCCGTCGTAATTCAGGGAGAAAGGAGTTGGTGAACATGTCGACGTAGCGCTCTAAGTTCACGGTAACATCACGACCCTTACCGTCTTCGAAGAAGTAAGGGCCAATGATGCAAGTTTGCGATACAGCGCACCAAACCGTTACTTTTGGGCTGTGCAGCGGTCTTTCGTGTAACTGTTGCTAATTTTCATTAGCCCAATAACGACAATTCTGCTAGTTAAACATGCTGTTTAGGTGAAAGTGGGCTTCGTCACTCTTAAACAAAATGAGGTTCTCAGATCGATCGATCAATGCTTCCATCTCACGTGCGAAGTTCATTCGTTCTGCATAATCTCCGGGCTGTAACTGTTGCACAATGGCCAATTTGTAGGGGTGAAGAAAGACCTGTCGAATGCGTTCAACACTTTCAGGAGTTCGACCTGTTCGCGGCGCTCCTCTGGGTCTTCTGTTTATCAGTTCACCACGCTTGCGAAGTTATTCAACCCAAAGAAGGATGGTGTTTCGAGAGGGAACAGCTCTATTCCGATGAATGTTGAAGTGGCGACGAAACTCACGCTGTACGACGATGACTGACTCATTATTTCGGACGAAACAATCATAGGCGAACACGCGGTGCTCCACCGTCCAAGACTCCATAACGACAACTGGTAAAATAATGCTAGGATCTCACGAGTCAAACGCACCCTCCCCACCTCTCTCGTAGACGGAGGCTGAGAGTACTACCCATCCCAAAAACGTCCGTCCTCTCTGCCGCACCCTGTATTTTCCATACTCATTGCTTAGGTGAAAAAAAAACCTTTTATTGCTATTTCGAAAACTAGGGTCTACGTCAAAATATGTTCCATAAAAGGTATTCAGAATTTCTCGCAGATCACAAATATCGTAAAAAATGTAAACCACTCCATAAAAAAGCAAAAGTTGCTATGAGTTTCTGAAAAACTGCAGATTCGGTAACATCGCGGATATCTTCAACGGATCCGCCGTGGTTTCGAACCTAAACCTACCAATTTAAGAAAAAATAGACAAGTCATTCGTCAGATATTGATGCATTCTAAACTTTTGTTACAGTCTATATTAGGGAGAAAATTTGTGAGGTGGCGACACGAAGCAAAATATTTAAAGTACGCTCAAAGTTTTAAGAAGCATTGGTGGAATATTGATTAAGGATACATGCATTTTTACGCACTGAGAATAACATTAGACGCTTGTTTGGATCAACTGGTTTGGAGATCTTACATTAATATTCTATAATATGATAGTTTTCTCTTTCACGCCTACTAGATGCACACATAGGCCAAATTTGACCCATTTTGAAACCTCACTAGTTTGCTTTAGCCGCTTCACGTGAAATGTCCACATGTTTAATCAAAGTTTACTAGATGATACATTGTTTTTATCCATTCGCTGATGGCAGACAGCAGAGCTGAATGACTGCACCGACTCATATGACTGGACTATTTTATGAACGCGTACTTGGGCATTGTGTAAGGACGACACTTCTTGATTTAAAGGATTTACATTGCCATTTCAGCTGGGATGCTGCTCATTTCATTGTTCCACGGCTGTTATCAGACTAGCCTGATATAAATGCTCGCAAATGTGAGATGTTCTACTCATGCCTTATTTAGTGCGATACTTAAGGTTAGCGTTATTATTTATATGTGCTTTGTAAGCTTTCCATTTTGCTTCGTTTCCGGCGACGCTAAATTGCCGATTTAAGAAAATAGCAGCAGAGATTCCCGAGAAAATGCTGAAAAGAAAATGTATGTATACGTAATTATTCTGAATGCGTACTACTGGGGGATGTAAATATCTACAATTGCGCCATATTAGTCAAAAGGTCGCCTTGGCTTCTTTGTTCCGGATAACATGGAGTCTCATAAAAAGCAGAAGCTTATTATGAGTTTAACAGTTACTTGGCCCAGCAAGTAGAATCATTGCGGAAATCAAAAGCATTACCTATGTGAAGTTCGGAAAGTTGACCGATAGATATAGATAAGCTAATACTCATGCATTTATTTTTCAAAACACCTTGCCTATAAACTATCGGAGCTGGAGCATATCCTAGGGTAACCATGTTATTTATTTCCTTATTTAGGGTATGTCTTGATTTCTGAATTGAACATATTTAAAATTGGGATATTAATTTTGAGATACTGTATCTGGTAAATTACCCCAAAAAAAAAAATTTTAAAAGTGTAAACGTTTATCAAACATAGTATTTGAAAAGGAGCAGTTTCGTTTTTATTGCCAATATTCTTTGGTCTGCAGGTCCTCGGTTATGAATAATATTTGATTTTCGATACTTCGCAATGTCTTTTGAATACGTCTTATCGATCCCTTTAAGA